AGAAGGCTCTCTGCTGCTCTCTATTGTAGAGGACAGCCTGTAATGCAGTATGCGGGGGAATTCAGAGTCAGGGGTGATTTTCTAGGTATTCATCGGATATTTTTTTTTTTTTTAAGAAGATGGTCATAGAAATGAAACTGTTTTCCTTTCCCCCTTAACTCCTCCAATCCAAAGAACCTAGCCACTAAGATATCACAACCGAGGAGCCAAGGAAAAGATCTATAATAAAAGTCGAAATCACGGAGTCCTGATGAGCATGAGAGTGAGGGAGGAGGTCAGAAGAATCATATCTCAAAACGCAGGGTATAAGAAAGCCAGGGTTTTGATTACTTTGCAAAACAACAGAGCAGGGGAGCTCTAGTGGCCTGAAGCTAGAAAAACCATCCTAGTCATCCCTCCATCAAAAGCCCTATTTTACATTTGTAGGGTTTTCTGATACCTTGGGTCACATCATGGGAACAGATGCGCAAGATAAACGGAGATGAAGCCCAGGCGCTCACAGACACGGTTCAAAGCTATGGCAGCTTGAGGCTGACCTGCTAGTGACCTTGTGCGTGCGGTGGGGAGGGACCCTCTGTGCTCGCGGCTCATGCTGCCGCCCGTGAAACAAATGCGAGGCACTATTTTTGCTTTTTGCCTTTATTGTGAAAGCACAACTCCCCTTTGGATTTCTTTCAGTTGGCGAAAACAGGTACCCATGTAGGTTTTTCATAAAACAGTGGCCCCATGCAACCTTTTAAGAAGTGGGGATCCTTGCCTCTACTGTTCTCTATAGCTGGTTATGACCCTGTAGCTCATGGTTAGGACTTCTTTGTCTTTTACCCATTTCATATATCCCTTGACTTTCGTTAGCGCCTGCACTAGTTGGGAATCTGTTTGGGGTGTGGGGCTGCTTTTACCCCATGCCTTCCTTTTGGAAGGAACTGAGCTGTTGACTCTGCCAGTAGAGATGCAGACAGACCTTCCTGAACTTTCACTGTTGCTGTTGAAGCCACACCAGCGCCATCTCAGGAAAGCCCCTGAGCTGACTCCTTTCTCTTCCCTCCTCCTCCTGTACAGAGGCAACCTCATTTTTTCTCCATACTGAGGATTAACCATCCATCTAACACTGCACAATTATTATTTTTTTTTTGGCATCTTCTCCCAAGAGTACAAGAACCCCGAAACATCCAGGAGGCAATCACGACTTCCGATTGGGTGGAATAATGTTTGTGTTTCTCCATGGACACGTTCCTCCATCCAGAGGTCACGCAGCATAGCGGGAAAGGGCAGGAGACCTGGATTTAAATCACACGTGCTCCGATTCCAGCCCCACCATGTACATCTCTGTGCTCAGTCTCCTCATGCACAAAATATGGACAGGATAGTTTACTCACAGAGCTGTTATGAGGACTGATAGCTGTCATAAGTATGCGGTATTCCATGTAGATCATAGGACGGAATGCCTGGCACGCGAGTGTTTGTTATTAGCTGCTGTCAGTGAGTGCTCGACAAGAGGAACACAGTTACGAGGACCGGAAGCAAACAAAAAACAATCAAGAGGCTCACTAGAGAGATCTGTGAGCCTTGCACAAGCCCTCCCCACTCCAAGCTCCAAGGTGTGTCACTTCTCCTCCAGCCCGAGTATTATATCAGTGAAGGAAATAGAATGAGGTACTGGTTGCTTATTGAAAGCAAAATGTTAGTGCAATCTCCCAAGATTATTCCACAACTGGGACAGATTTTTACAAAAGTCCACATCCTTATTTTTTCAGGCCATCTCTTTCTGGTTGATGGTGGCATGATAAGACAATGAATCCATAGGTATCGGCCCATTGTCTTCATTCTTTTCTGTGAGTTATTTGATAAGAAATAATGTGGGGACTGTCGTGATGACATCAAATGCATTATTTAGGTCACAGATGATATGGGGCAAAATCAGGTTGAGAAAAAGGAAATCCTAGTCCAGAGTAACTTTCTCTTCCAATTGGGGGGATGGTGGTGGGAAATCATTGTCCTTTCATAATGGACGGGTGTGTCATCAACCCACCAACACGAGGCTATATGGTCACCTTGAAATACGGTGCTCTATCACATGACAGGGTTGCTGGCTGTTGTTTCTACAAATGGATGGAAAAGCCCTTATTCTTAGTCTTTGTTCTGGCCAGCTTCTGTTTACATGGCTACATGGATCTGCTGTTTCATGCGTGAAATACTTCTATTATATTGTTCACTTCTTCAGAACATAGAGTATTCTCTGAAGAATGGAATCCCAACACAGACTTGCTTTGCTCATGAGGATTTGAGCAATGTTTTAACTTTCGGTTGTTGCCATAAAAAATTACCACACATTCAAAGTCCTAAAACAACACAAATTTATAATCTCACATTTTTGTAGGTTGGAAGTCTGACATGGATCTCATGTCACTAAAATGAGTGTCAGCCAGGCTGCATTTCTTTCTAGAAGCTCTGAGGAGAATCCGTTTCCTTGCTCATTCAGGCTGTTGACAGAATTCAGTCCCTTGAGGTTGTGGGGGCTCACTTCCTTGCTGGTTGTTGGCTGAGGGCTGGTCTCGGCATTTAGAGGGCCTTGCATTGCTTAGCTCATGCCCCAGTTTATCCATTTTCAAAGCTAGCAATTGTGGGTTGAGTTCCTTCCACACTTTTAATCTCTTCCGCCTCTTCTGTTGTATCCCTAAGACACTTCATCCAGAAAGTACTCTCCACATTTAAGGACTCTTTTGACTAAATCAGGTCTACCAGGATAATATGGGATAATCTTCCCAACTCAAGATCCAAAACCTCGACCACGCCTGCAAAGTACTTTTTGCTAAGTCACATAACGTACTCACAGGCTGCAGTGGTGAAGGCAAAGGCATGGGCATCTCCGGAAGGCCATTGTTTTGTCTACCACAAGCGGGCCCCACAGTGGCAAATGCTGGAGAAGAAAGCTGATTGACTGATGTTTATCTAATGCTCTGCAGCAGGAAGCTTCGATGGCTCTTTACATGGAACACAATATTTTACCAACCCTCCGATTTTTCTCCTTCCAACTCTCTAACTGGATAAGCTATTAGCAAGGACCCAGATCCTTAACTCAGTTCATCTCTCTTTCTAGGCAAAGTGGAAAATGAGATGTACTGGTCAAAGGCGAGTTAAGACATTTCTGAGAAAGTCATAAAGGTGTATACTTGTCCCATCAACTGAAAGAAAATTGCTTCTAGTGTCCTCCATTTGTTGGAAATTGCAGAGAGAAAAAAAAAAGCATTTGTCGGATTAATAACTTCATACTCAATACCGAGGCTGTACTGATTCGTTCTAATAAGGAGACTATGAAAGGAAAGGCAGCTGCAGTTAGAGGTATATATTTTTTTTTTTTTAGAGTTATACATTTTTAAGCTCACAACATCCACTGTCGGGGTTCATCTATCCTGGGCAGGATGAAACCAAAGACCCGAATGGGTCTGTGAATTAGAATAATCAATCTTATATTTTTCCAGATATTTGATGGTGACACTGATTTCCATGATGTTCCTAAGGGTGTGGTTTCTATTCTGATGTATTACTTTGGTAGGAAGCAGAGCAGGTAGAGAATTTCCTCTTGTCCCCTCCTGCCATGATATCTCTTCCTCCATCAGCAAAGGGGACTGAAGGAGGACCTCTGCTAGGTATATCCATTCCTTTAACTGCCATGGGTTTTAATTCCCATTGGTCCTACTACATAAAGTGACACAGGTCAAAACTCTGTTTGTCACTTGTCTTGCATAAGCCTCCATTCAGACCGTTAGATCACTGTGGTGTTCTGAGTACCTGAGCAATAATAGTCTAAGTTTATACCTGATGTCTAATACACATAAAGGATTTAGATACTTACCTTTCTCAGAGAGTAAATATCCATAAGTACCTTTGAAGGAGGGTAGGAGGAAAGATTTTAAGTATGCACTTAATATTTTCACAGGATCTTTCCTCAAGTGTATCCAGTCTTCTTTTTATTCAAGGGTTTCTGTGACTTTGAACTTGAGTTTAGTTGTGAAGGGGTGAAGGGTTGTGACCACCCTAACATAAAAAAAGGCTCTGCTTACTCAGTTATAGTCATCAAATAAGACTTTTGCAGGCCTGGCAGAGAGAGTAATGCCCACAAATATTCTACCTGGTCTATCCATTTCCCTGCCCCTTGTAGGTAAGTGGTGCCACGGGACCAGATTTGTTCAGTAGGCTGTGAGCAGAAGTTAACATGTTTAACTTCTGGCTGAAGCCTAAGAGATCAGGTATTAGTTCCCCATGTAGTCTCTTTGCTTATCATGGAAACTGTGAAATCAGATTACAAGAATGAAGCCGGCTCTGCCTCTGCGTCACTGCATGGTCAATAGCTCTGAAGAGTCACTCAGGCTGGTACCAGCCTCGGTATAAACGGGAAATAGACTTTTAAGTGCTGAGCCACTGACACTTGGGGGTCATTTTATTAGCACAGCATATCCTAATTCACTAGGGACCCCATCCTTACAGTCAAAGGACCCATGAGCAATCAACCACCATCAATGATCTTGCGGGTGCCACCGTTCTATTATCCATGATGGTACTTCTTTCTGTTATGGCAATCAAGCTCATCTGCCTCTACCAAAGAAGTTCTCTGCTTGTTTTTTTTCTATCCTGTAATCTTTCCATCATGTGAAAACCAGGGAACCTATTTTAACTACAGCACCTTCCTTAGCATCTCTGGAGTATGTAGAAGAACCACCAAAATATTTCTCAAAGATGCCATCACTTCCTTCATTAAGGTCTACCTCAAGGCTTCATTGAGGGGAGATTTTTCTGGGTCCTCTCTAGCAACTTAGGGAGTGGGTGGTACATTGTGATGAAACTACTTCAGACTTCCTACCCTCCCAGATTAAAATTCCTTTATCTACCTTAGGCCAAAATGTTTCTGGTGCCTCAATTTTATTTAGTGAGGCTCAACACCAAACACAGGTACGTATTAACTAATTACACAAACTGTTAGAACCCTTACCACTGAGCACACAAAAAACGGGATGGTTGGTAAGTTCATCCATATCGAAAATTTAGTCCAATATAAAGTTATGTTTTGTCCAATTTGATGAGGCCCCTCTAAATTCATTCCCACACATATTCCAAAGACTTTTGTAGATATAAGTCAAGAAAATCCTGCAATTCTTTTGGGGTAAGTTTCTTTCTTCCTTGATTTGATTTACTGTTTTCTCCTTAGAGTGTGCTTGGATCTGATTTGATTACATGTTCGGAGAAAAGAAGGGGTTAAAATAGAGGTAGAGAGGGTAGATCAAAAGGGAAATTGGCTTGTTATTTTAAGGCAACTCTCTTGGACATTGGACCCAGGAAGGTTGTTTCCAGGGGTATGGGGAGCTCAGTGACAGGTAGGGGTCCTGGGTACCAGGATGCCTCCAAATTCTGCCACATGCATCTAATCCTGTGTTTCAAAGTCGTCTTCTTTCCCGAGCAGGGGCCCAACTGAAGAGAGAAGTTGTTTAATTCAACAGATGTCATAATTTGGTAATTGGAAGGGGAAAAAGCTGGTTTTCACTTATCTTAATCCTACAGAGGAGACGAAAAAGAGATCCTTTCATACTTCCCCATAGAAAGCCTGAGATTTCAGAAGTTTAGGTGCATTGTTTTCTTTAAAAGAACAAAACAAAAAACAAAACAAAACATCAAATGCCAATATAAGTACTTTTCTTCCCCCTGTAGTTCTTGAATTTCCTTGGGCCTTGCCCTCCTTGAACACTTCATTTCAGATGACTAGAGTAATATTTCAATTAATTATTTTGCTACCGTGTACCATAAATGAGAATTCTATCCTGGAGTGGTAATAGAACTCACATTGCCTTCTGCCTCATCTAGCCTAGGTATCCAATCCCAGCTGGAGACGGATCAATTACAATGTGCTTACTACGAGCCAGGCACTGTTCTGAGAGGTTTTTGTGTCCGAACTTTTTAAGCATTGAAAGAACCCAAAGAGAATGGCACCGTGAATCATCCACGCTTAAGACTGAGAAACTGCTACACATGGAGTTTCGGTCACACAGCTGGTGAGTGGCAAAGCTGGTGATTCAAATCCAGGCCATCTAGCTCCCAAGACCATGTTTTTAACCGCTGTGTTTTGCTGCCTCTCGATTTGAAAGTGGGATTCTTATCAGTTGGTATGCTTTCGTTTGCAAGAAATAGAAACTAATTTTCACTATCTTAACAAAATGATGTTTTATTAGAAAGTCGTCAGAATTGACAGAAGCAGACTAGAATAACAAACAGGAATCGAGGTCCCTATAGTGGGCCAAGGAAGTACGATAACGGTTTTGTAGGGAAAGTCTGGCCAGGACAAGTTGTCGTTGTAAGTATTGCTACATCACCATTAACTTCATGAAAGTGTTCAAACCTCTCCGTCATCATCTTGCCACTCACTCAGTGTCAGAATCTGGGACAGAAGCCTCTGATTTGCTGAGTCTGTTCATTTGCCAGTGCTGTGGCTGCCAAGGAATGGACAGAGGAGGACTGGATCTTTGTGGCTTCCCTGGTGGAAGAGAGGTGAAGCCCAGCTTTACAAAGACACTAAGTACAATTAAGGGAAACTCACAAAATAGTAAAGAGTTTTCTCAGTAGACATCAAAATGCTAACTGTTTGCCATAACTTGTAAAGATCTAAATCGATGGGAACCCCACAATTTCATTTGTGCCTGAACATGCAAGGAACAGATATGGTTCAGTCTTTCCATCCTCCAAATCCTTCCCAACTTCATTATATAACTGAATAGACCTCAACAAAGAGGGGAAAACTAACTATCTCCATTCCCACCCTGAAACACACCAGGCTAGATGCAAATTCTAGCCTCAGTCCATCTAAAGAGGCTACTTTTTCCAACGACTTGGCAAACCCAGGACACACCCTAGACTATTCTGAGCTTAGAGCTTCTTCTCACATCCCTCTGTGGTACTGGTTGCCCATAGCCCTAGCTGTTCCAGCCCAAGTCCCAAACCACCAAACTCAGCCCATCTGGATTTCAGATAAATTCTGATGTGCTGGAGTCAGCAACCAGCTTTTAAGATATTCTGGGCTGGCCAAGATGTCAGAATAGGCCAACCCCCTGGATTCCTTGTACTCTTTCCCCTGTTTCCAATCAACCTGGTAGCACCATCAACTTGGGTGAGGCTATAGACAGACAAAATAAAAAAATAACTGAGAAGGTTCTGCTCTTTTTTCTTTTTACCATTGTCTTGGAAAACTCTTGCCCAATACCTATGGCTACTCACAGCTCTGGTCCAGTTATTCCCAGAAGTGAAATCAAAGCCCGTGCCTACAGAAGAAGCTTTGCCTGTAAGGAGCTGATAAAAGAACTCTGCCCGTCAATCTGTCTTTCTAGGGCCCAACTATGGATGTGAGAATGGGGTTTCTGAAACCTATACCAGCTTACTAAACCAATGGACAGAGTTCTTCATTCATAAATATTGATTGACAGTCACTAGACACATGATTACAGTCTATGAAGGAAGGTTCAAGGCAGACAAGGAGAACTGACCATCGATGAAACAGAGATGACGAAAAGGAGTAGAACAGAACTGTCTATACACTAGAGAAATCTTTGCAACCATAAAACAACGTTATCAAAAAACAAAAAGCGGTGGGGGTGGGGGCACCTGGGTGGCACAGTCGGTTAAGCTGTTGACTCATGATTTCAGCTCAGGCCATGATCTCAGGGTCATGAGATCAAGTCTTGTGTCATGCTCTGTGCTCAGTGAGGAGTCCCCTTGAGGATTCTGTCTCTCTCTTTCTCCTTCTGCCCCTATGACCCCACTCTCTCTCTCTGTCTCTATAATAAATAAATCTTCAAGAAATAAACAAAAAAGAGGAAACTGGGAAATCTCTATTATTATTCTTAACTTAGAAAAATCAACAAACCAGTTAATAACAAAATGCACGCAGTTCCTCTGGACCCGGGAGAGCATTAATCTGGTTTTTATCAGTAGATATGTTTTGTCTGTTCTTTTATACCACTTTGTGTCTGCCTTTTTCTGCTCAGCATAGTATCTTTGAGATCATCTGTATATAGTGCTGTGCATACGAGAAGCTTGTTCCTTTCTATTGCCGAGTAGCATCCCATTGTATAAATATACCACGATAATTTACCTATTGATAGGCACTTAGGATACTTTCATTTTTTGCAATAATGAATAAAGCAGCTATAAACGTTCATGGACAAACTTTCTCACAGAGACATGTTTTCATTTCTCTTATATCAATACCTAGCATTGCATTATATTGCCTGAGCTTCCTACCTTCAAGAATCAGATCAGTTACTTTCACATAAACCATCTCATCTAACTCTCTCCAGCTGCTCAGTGCAGGCGCTGACACCGGGACCCCTCTTGGTGACATTGAGCTGGTCCTCTTCCCACCACACTCGCTGTACCTTCCTCTTCTCCAGCAGCGTGCAAGCCCAGACCTCCTGAGCCGCCTTAACTCGGCTCCAGCAAAAAGAGCCACTTTGACATTGGCCCATTCCAGGGCGGGAGTGGAAACCAGAGGAGTGCAGGGAGCTGCCTGGGAGGACAGAGGTGTGCAGGCGGCGTGCCTGGCGCAATTAGAGGCGGATTAAGATGGAAACAGTGTGGGGGCCAGGCGTGATGTGTTTTTGCCGTCTTGTCTGGGATTAGTAGTAATATATCTGCTGGCGTGATGGACACATCTGCTTTCGTTTATTCTGAGTCCTGTCAAGCTCACAGGCCTGGATTAAAGCAAAATCACGCTGAGTGAACATTGCTAATTTAGCTCCTTTTTTTCCCTCTCTTTTTCTTCCCCATCTTCAAATTTTAATGTGAATGCAGCAAGAAGCCATTCCCTTCCGACATGATGATTTGGGAAAGGAGCCTCTAATTCCCACATCCTGAAGAGGAGGGGAGGGGTGGGGAGATGAGGAAGCCTGAGCCAAAAGATGAAGCCCCGGAGGGCAGGGGTATGTTGGGAAGGGAAGAAGAGAAGCAAGGAGAGAGAAAGGTGGCAGGAGGGAGTAGAGGAAATGTGAGTTTCCAGGGTACTGCCCGGGATGCTTAGCTCTGGAACATTTCCCCATGAAGCAACCAACAGCTTACATCCTTGGGGCTGGCTGCCGGCTTCCCGGGCCCCCTGACTGCTAGACCACTCCCTGCGCAAAAGTGCTTCAAGGCAGGGGGAGCACCTGCCCGTCACTTCACGTGCACCTGTCTCTTATCTGAGGGCGGGTTCTCGGCGAGTTTGTTTGCTGTGTTTCACAACTGGACATTCCTTTAACCCCACGTCTAGCTAACTCAGTCACGGCTTGCTGGCGGCTCAAGCTCTGCTTCTTCACTGTGAGTCAAAAGACTCCCGTCGCCGCCCCTGGAATCCCATTTTAGAGATTGTCTTCCCATGGTTTCCGCCCAGAGTCTCTTTATCAAAGTCATGTCTCCAGGCACTTTTTGTTGGTTGAGATAAGATCTTGAGATTTTCCCCTCTCTCCACCCCGCTGGGTTTTTTCTCGATAATACACTCCTTTTTGCTGTCCTCCGGCACTTAATAGTTTGTGGAGTTCATTCTTCTGGTTTCTCTCCAGTTTCTTATATTTTTTTCAACTTCCTTTTCCTTTTAACGTATTTGGGACAGCACCATCTTTGTTAACCGAGAAGAAACATGACAGAAAACACGTTTCGTTTCTTTTTTATTTTTTTTTGCTAAAACATTATAGCCAGTGGTAAAAATAATAATTACGGGCCAGGAGTAAATGTTGGGATGCCAGATGAAGGAGATTAAGGTATGAACGATTTCAAAAGAGAAATAAAATCAAGCAGAAGATCAACGTGGTGTCTTGGGACAAAGGGAGGAGGTGGCAAGGATGAGGCCAAGGTCAGGAGCACCGAGGGAGAAGTGAGAAGCAGAGCCCAGCCCAAACCATTCTCCCCAGGCCAGTCCAGCAGAGTGGGGGGCCATGGAGTGCGGCCGTCCCTCTGACTACTGCTCCACGCCCTCTCCAGGAAAATAAAATGCACTTGCAAAGGGCTAAATCAAATTCACCTTCAGGACCAGCAGAATCTGGCTAATACGATTTCAAGCTCCCGCTCCCCCTGCCTCCGAGCTCTGCACCTTCTTGCTGATGTCTCAGATTCTTTTAACAAGGGAAAGAATCTTTCACGCCACAATTAGGGATAAAAGACATAAAATGCAAACGCCTGGCTGAGCTCCAGTTGGAGAATAATCAATCAATCCTTGGAATATAAATTACTAATATCAGATTCTTTCCTGGTATGATACAGGGAAGAGGGCTAAAAGCGTAGATTATACTGACACCTGACATGGGGGTTGCCAAGAAGATGGGTGCCAAGGAGGGAACAAACCCTTCCAGGTGTATAACACCTTAAGGTCTGAAGTGTGTGCGTGTGTGTGTGAGTGCGCATGCGTGCATGTGTGTGTGGTGTGTACACTGTGTGTCACTTATCTTTCACAACTCTGGGAGGCAGGCATCTGTATTCTTACCATCATACAGAAGAAGAAACTGAGGCTTAGTTTGTCGGATAGTTGATCCCAGGGCCAAGCTAACTGGTGCCGATCTTCCTCGACTCACCATGGGGTTACATCCTGGTGAACCCATTGCCTGTCGAAAATATCCTGAATTGAAAATACATTCAATACACTCACCTACCGAACTTAATGGCTCAGCCTAGCCCACATGGAATGTGCACAGAACTCTTACATCAGCCTTCTGTTGGGCGAAATCATCGAACGGGAAGCCTATTTTATAAGGAAGGGTTGGATAGCTCATGCCTTCGGTCAACCGCTGTACCGAAAAGGACAAACAGTGTGGTGCATGGGTGCAGAATGGTTGAAAGTGGGTCGGTCATGGATGCCCAGCATCCCAACACAGGACAGTACCACATATTGCTAATCCAGGGGAAGATCACAATTTAAAATTCGAGGGATGGTCTCTACTGCATTCATATTGATTTTGCACCATTGCAAAGTCGGAAAATTTTAAGTCGAAGCATCGTTGGTGGGAGACCGTCTGCGTTTGAACCTGAGGTTCTGACGGCAAGCCCAGCAATTTTTAAAATATACCAAATGCTATGGAAAGAATCTGGCAACAAAAGAAATACCCTACAAACTTTTAGGATTCTGCCTCGGCTGAGATTTGTTTACTTTGAGATGGGAGAGGATGCCTGCATTGGTGGATGGAGTAATTTTAGTGTGGAGCTGCCAAAGCAAGCAGCCTGCTTTGCATGATTTATGAAGACTTTTAAAAAAATGAAGTTGAGTGTTGACTTTGTGAAACAGGAGCTTCATTTTCTGGGAATTTGTTATTTGAAGTACCTCCCCCCCCTTTTTTAGTGAATTTATCCTCTTCTCACAAAACCCCATTAACTTTTCCTTCCCAATCTCCTTAGTCTGGGACTTAAGCAATTTCTAGTTTGGTATGTATATTTATACTTATTTTTCTTTAATTTTTTTTTAAATTGAAGTCTAGCTCTTATACAGAAATATATATAAAACTTGTAACTATCGCTCCATAAATTACCATAAAACAAAGCCCTGCGAAGCCATCACCCAGACCGAGAGGTAAAACACCTCTCACAATCCCAAAATCCCCTTCCCACGCCCTCCTCCCATCGTCATTACCTTTTCTCTCCTCCCGAAAGATTACTCCTATCCCGGATTCTAAGATCATTGATTAGTAATGCTCAGTCTTGGACTTCATATAAACGGAATCTTACTATTATTTTGTGTGACTTACTTTGATTGGTATTAAATTATGTGAGAGTCATTCCTGTTTGGGCATGCACCTGTCATCTGTTTTCAATGTTGCATAGTGTGCCATGGTCCAAACCCACTGATTTATTTATCTAGTCTACTGTTGGTAGCATTTAGATTGTTTCCTCTTTGGGAATATCATGAATAACATCACTATGAACACCCTTGCTCAGGTACTTGGATAATATGTGTCTATATTTTCTGGGTATGTACTTGGGATTGAACCTGCCCTGTTGGAGAGTTTGTTTTGGAGCTAACAGAACGCTGTTTTCTAAGTGATCATACAGAGGTACGGTCCTATCGATGACATGAGTGTACTTAACTGCTTGACATCCTGACCAACACTTGCTAGTGCCAATCTTTGTAATTTCAATCATTCTGGTGGGGGTAATAGTATTTCATTATGGTTTTAGTCTTTATTTCCTTGACTACTAATAAGGTTGGCCATTTTCATATGTCAACTGGCCTTTTTTTTTAATCAAGTACATTTCTCGCCCATCTTTCTATTGTGTTGTCTTTTTTTTTTATTGACTTGTAAGAGGTATATATATATATATATATATATATATTTGAGGGTTTTTTTTTTTTATTGAGTCCTTTGTTGGTTTATGTGGATTACAAATAACTTCTCTGGCTTTGTGCCTGCCTTTTCCCTCTTAATGGGTCTTTTGAATAGAAGTTCCTAACTTTGATGTAGAACAGTTTATCAGTCTTTCCGTTCATGGTTGGTGTTTTCGTGTCCTTTTAAAGAATTCTTTTTTTTCTCCCAGGTTCATAGAGATAATGTCTTATAGTGTCTTATAGGAAGCTGTGTGGTCTTGCCTTTCACTTTTAAATATATAAACCAACTGAAATTGATTTTTGTATATGCTGTGATATAAAGGTCAAGTTTTATTGTGTTCCATATGAATATGAAAGTGCCCCAAACCATTCAGAGAAGAGATGGTCCCGTCTCCACCATCCTGCCATGTCAGACCCAATGCCCATTTGCATGGTATCTTCTTCTGCTGCATTGGTCTATCTGACTATCATTTTGCTAATATCACACTACCTTAATTATTGTAGCTTAATGATATATCCCTCTACCTTTTTGTTCTTTGTTAAGAAGGTCAGCTTCTTGAACTTTTGCACTTCCATATAAATTTTGAATAAGATTTTCAATTTCAAAAGGGAAAAAAGGAAGAAAGGAATATCCATTGACATTTTGATTGGGATCGAACTGAATATACGGCTAGATGGGGGATAATGAATATCTTTGCAATATTTGGTTGCACACACTTTTTTTCAAATAATATTTTACAGGGTATTTTTCTGTTTGTTCGCTCTTATTTTTGTTTTGCTATATGCACAGAACTTTTTCATATCTTTCATTACATTTATTCCTAGGTATTTTATACTTGCTGATGTTATTTTGAATGTGTTATGATTATCTAAAGAATAATCTGTATTCTCTTTGCTGATATTATGCAAACCTCCTTGATTTTTGTATTTTGACCTTGTATCCAGCAGCCTCTTTGAATCATTTAAAAATTCTGATTACTGGGACACCTGGGTGGCTCGGTGGGTTAAGCCTCTGCCTCCGGCTCAGGTCATGATCTCAGGGTCCTGGGATCGAGTCCCACATCGGGTTCCCTGCTGAGCAGGGAGCCTGCTTCCCCCTCTCCCTTTGCTTCTCCCCTTGCTTGTGCTCTCGCTCCTTCTCTCACTCTCTGTCAAATCAAGAAATTCTTTTAAAAAAATTCTGATTACTTATCTATATATTCTTTTGGATTTTCTATATACAAAATAATAATATATGTAAATACTGACGATTTTAGTTATCTCATTACAATTGTTACCTTTTTTAATTGTACTGGCTAGAATCAGTAGTACAACTTTGAACAGAAGTTATATCCTTGTCTTCTTTCCCTCTGCAAAGGCTTCAAAGGGAAAGCTTCAATATTCCCCGTTAAGAATAATGTTTGCAGGGGGCACCTGGGTGGCTCAGTGGGTTAAAGCCTCTGCCTTCGGCTCAGGTCATGATCCCAGGGTCCTGGGATTGAGCCCCATATCAGGCTCTCTGCTCAGCAGGTAGTCTGCTTTCTCCTCTCTCTCTCTCTCTGACTGCCTCTCTGCCTACTTGTAATCTCTGTCTGTCAAATAAATAAATAAAATCTTTAAAAAAAAAAAAAGAATAATGTTTGCAGACCCATCAACTCAGAGAACACATTGATGGATGCCACAGAGAAGGGGGGGATGGG